GAAGAAGATGATCTCATTATTCAGAAGGGGCACATATTACAGCTTGCATAAAATGCAAGACATTTTGTTAGAAGAATTGACCACTTCTTAAGTGTTTGAGACAATGCGAAGAGACGCCCTCGAGCTATTTAACATTACTGTGTAGTGACACCAGAATGAGAACATTCAAGTTAGGATATGTTGGGCACGAAGAGACCCAAGAATACCCACTTTGAGACATGACCAGAAACCCAGATCATGTTGGGATGACAAGATTCAGACCAAGAAGATATTGAGAATGAGTCTCATAACTTGAAGTGTTAGGGACATACCGTGAATTTGAGTAGAGCTTACCTCGTAAGGCAAACCAATCGAGCATCAATCAATGGCAGAGTCCGGAAAGAACAACTTAGAAAGCATAATTGAGCCAATGATGGAAATGGGGCAACACATTGGTATTTCTGATCATAGCAAGAAGTTGGGAGAGAAAGCAATTTCTCCGAAATGAAGATAGAAAATGAAGACTACAAGAATATAAAAGAAGATCAGAAGGCTCTTCAAAAATGCAAGTTGAAAATTATGAGTTATTATATGGATATCTAAAGCAAACCCCGAAGAGGAATGATCAAGTAGAAGAAGACTAAGTTTGTCACTTTGAGGTCAAATGAAGATGGAATCGACATTTATGCATTCATGAGAACATCATTTGCATAAAAAAATGCATTACATTGATTCATTTTATTGCATTCGTGTTTCATGCATAAACACATGATTTTGACAGATCTTCCAATGAAAAGAGAAGATGCAGGATGTTAAAATTTTGAAGATTGAAAGGTAGAAGTCAAACATCAAATACAGGGAATCGTGTTTAGAGAGAGAACATGAGAAACGCATGGGTCAATCCACAGGGGAAGCGTTACTTTGAAGCGGGGCACGTGGCCCGACCATTAAGTCATTTTATGAAGTGAAATGAGAAGGATTTCTCATTAAAATATGAAATTTGAGGAAAAATAAGAAATGTTTCTTACCCAGTAAGCAATTTAAGACCTTAGTGTCATCAGTAAGTCTTTCAAGCATGATGCTTAAATCCTTCGGGTCATCTGTAAGCCTTTAGAGCAGGATGATAAGTCCTTCGGGCAATCCGTAAAACCTTTGGGTAGGATGTTTTCACATGAATTTAAAAATGAAAAAACGATGTTTTGAGAAGATGAAATTTTTGAAAACAAAGAATGCGATTTTCAAAATTTTCACAATTTATGAGTCATTCAGGTAATTTTTAAGCCTTCACGGAAGAGTAGTGAAGCAAATCCGTCAGTAAGTGCCATCAGTAAGTCTTTCGAGCATGATGATGAAATTCTTCGGGTCATCAGTAAGTCTTTCGAGCATGATGATGAAATCCTTCGGGTCATTTGTAAGTCTTTCGAGCATGGTGATAAGTCCTCCGGGCCATTTTAAGCCTTCACCGAAGAGTAGTGAAGCAAATTCATCAGTAAGTCTTTCGAGCACGATGATGAAATCCTTCGGGTCATTTGTAAGTCTTTCGAGCGAGATGATAAGTCCTCTGGGCCATTTTAAGCCTTCTCAGAAGAGTGTTGGAGCAAGCCATCAGATCATCAGATGTGGGAGGAAATCGAAGGTTCTCGAGTACAAAGACGCAAATTAATTGATTAAAAGGAAATGAGCACGAAGAGTCATTAACCAATTCAAGGTCCCAGGAAGAGAGAGGTTCAAATGGCAGCCGAGTCCAAGAAGATTCTCATATCTAGTTGTTGCGAGACAAGCTCCCTCAAGAGAAATAAATTCTCAAAGATTCTCTTAAATTTTAAAATTTTCGAGTATAATGTTTTTCAAATCTTCAAGCATACATTAATGAGTGGAAACGTTTGATTTTCAGGTTTAACCTTCGAAGTTGAGCCTTCATGGGAGAATAGTGTAACGAATCACACTAGAAGATTGTTCAAGTTTTACTCCCTGAAGCAAGAGGGAGGACTGTAGGCAGAAGATTGTTCGAGTTTTACTCCTTGAAGCAAGAGGGAGGACTGTAGGCAGAAGATTGTTCGAGTTCTACTCCCTGAAGCAAGAGGGAGCGAACCCGTTGGCAGAAGATTGTTCGAGTTCTACTCCCTGAAGCAAGAGGGAGCGAACCCGTAGGCAGAAGATTATTCGAGTTCTACTCATTGAAGCAATAGGGAGCGAACCCGTTTTTAGAAGATTGTTCGAGTTCCTTAATCCCTGAACAAGAGGGAGCGGACCCGTCATTTGAAGATTTTTCAAGTTTCATTTATCTCGAAGTAACAGTGGAGTGATTTAATCTTTTGAAGAATTCATGACCGGACAAAATCGACCATCTTTTGATCTTTGCTCTATTCTCGTTGCACGACAATGAACAAAGAGGGGCAGCTGTAGATACTCATTTTTATCCGGGGCTAGATCGGAGCAGACCCGAATCAGAGCAATTGGAGGCCCAACTCAAGCCCACGTGAATACTCACTGGAAAACTAAAAGTAGTTATCAGGAGTTAACAAAAAAAGGGTTTCAGTTTTCTTAATCTATTAGAAAGAAACTGTAAAGGGGGAGGGTCAGTTTTTTTTAGAGGGGATTAACGACTGGAAACGGGGACAAGAGAGGAGAAGCACGAAAGATTTTTTTTTCTTTGTTTTTCATTCGTTTTACACAGTAGAGCAACAGATAAAATAGTGTGTAAACAACATTTTTTTCGGTATTCAAAGATCAAGAAGTAGTATAACAGGGGTCTTCCCTATCTCTTTCGAAGGCAATATAAGCAATCCATAAGCAGGTTACTTTCGTTACTTTCTTTATTTTTCGAAATACTCAGCAATGTTATACGTGGCTTGTGGTTTTTCTTTCAAATCATAAAAAATAGCAGAGAAAAGAATTAGAAAATTACCTTAGATGTGGATGACATTAGATTTGGTAGTTACATCCTAGTCGGTCGGGGTTAAATTGATGGAGATAAAGATTGGGGTTAGTGTTATGAAACCATGTAAGTCTGAGATTAAAACGACGATCAGTAAAATAAATTAGAGGAAGGAGAAGGTTTTGAGTTCTTACCGGAGTTGGGAATTTGGTCTTGTTAGATCGCCGGAGAAGTAGAGTCTCGCCGTAGTAGGTCGCCGAAGATAGAAGTAAACGAAAGGTCGAAGGTCATTCACGGTGTTTAGTGGGCGGTTTAGCGAGATTTAGCTTCGGGTTTATGGTCTAGAGGGTAAACCGATGCATTAAGGTTGGTTTGGCCTTTGTGGTTCTTCCATAGGCGAGAAAAATGGTGAAGGAGAGAGTTGAAAAAGAGAGTGGAGAGTGAAGCTGGCGGCAGGGCCTTCCTGCGTGTAAATCTACTTAGGTTTAGGCATAATTTAGCTTTTATATTAAATGGTTATTGAAAGTTCACGTGTATTAGTTTAAAATAAGTTTTAGTTTAAATAAGTTTTTTTTATTAAATGTTTATTGAAAGTTCACATGTATTTATGCTTTAGGTACATTTATCGTGCTTTTCATTTTATTTCAGCTTTTTGGTATCTTGATTAAGTATTTTTGCAGCTTTTTATATGTTGGTTATTTATATGTTTTTATTTAGATATAATTAAGTTTTAGTCCTCCCAAATTTGCAATGAATGTGCATTTAGGTCATTGGTTTATTTCGAATTTTACATGCTTAATTTTGCATATATTTAAATTTACTCATTATTTTAATATGTATATATTTTTTAAATTTATAGTTTAGCATATCATGTTTTCATTTTTATATATTTGAGTCACATTTGTACATTATAAGTTAATAGACATGGTTATAGTTTTTAATTGTAAATATATATATATAATTTTTTGTATGTCACGTTGTATGCTATTTTTAATTTTGTTTAATTAATTTTTGGCATGACATACTTTTTTACACAAGTTGTATGATATCCTCATTTGCATAACTCGATATATTACATAATTGGATTAAGGGTAATATACTTTTAATTTAAAATTGTTTTAAGTGGGCAGTCATAACTGATTTGAGGTCCGCTTTTAATGATTTTAAAATAAAAGTGTATCCCATTAGTGACGCCTAAAAATTGATCCATCACTTTAAAATTTGGGAATGGAAGAAAAAGAAATGTTCGTCTATTTAAATTTATCGAGAAAAGGTTGTTATAGCTTTTAAGATCTGGTCTCGATATTTGTAAATAATCGAACATTCTTTTTCTTTCTAAAATGACTGGGTAATTTTAATTTAATTTATTTGTGTGCTTTTGAATGTTTTCAAATTTACATCTTTGTTTTATGGGATAAAAAGTCAAATTAAGTTCGAATTTCTAAAGTTCATTGCAAAGACATTAATTAATCGACTAGGTACCGATTTAGGGCGTTGTGGGGGTGCTAATCCTTCCCCACACGTAACCGACTCCCGAACTCATTTTTTGGTAACGCAGACCTCAATTTGTTGTTTTAATTAAAAGTAATTTTTATTTAAAATGACAAAACATTTTTGGGTGTCCAATCACACCCTAATCAAGGATTGGTGGCGACTCTTCGAACCGTTTTTTTATCACAAAGGAAATCTAAAATTTTTTGAAACGAGAGGTTTTTTAAATTGCATTTGTTTTTAAATTAAAAATCAGTTGAAAGAGATAAATTAAAAATTAATGTGGTTTTTAAAATCTCACCTTTTCACCTTTTAAGAAAAAATCGTTTCGACAGGTTCTTTGTCACTAACCTAAGCCCAGGTTTGCTGTTCTGTTGACCTTATCCAATTAAGTATGCTCATCCATAAGAAACATTATTGTCTAAGTATAAATTTTACATTTCTATAGTCATTTGAATCATAGTGGAATATGCAAAACTTTTTATGTAATGATTGAATCAATTTTAAATGGTATTGGTTAATTTTGAAGTTCGTTTAAACCTAATATTCAAGTCATTCAATGTTTATTGAAATATATAATATCTTCAAGTGTCCTATTGGTTTTATGTTGAACACCTAAAGATTTGTAGATGCTAACCATAGTCTCTTGCAGGGAAAACATTGAAAGGCCAGTCTCAAAAAGTTCAACAGGCAGTTTTGGAGGTAAATATGTTAATTTTATTTTGGCTATTTTTCTTCTTTGGATTTATTGGTTTATCATTTTTTATGATAGAAATTTCGAGCTGGTGGCTACAATGTTATTGTTGCCACATCAATTGGTGAAGAAGGCTTGGATATCATGGAAGTTGGTCTTGTAATATGTTTTGACGCCAATGTTTCACCTTTGAGGATGATACAACGGATGAGGAGAACTGGAAGGAAACATGATGGACGAGTTGATATCCTTTTGTTGTTTCATGGTTCATGTTAAAATATGGGTGCTTAGGCAGTGTGATCTTACATTTGTCTAATGTTTTCCTATTGTCTTATATTGAAGTTAGGACCCTTCGCCTATTGCTAATTGGTTTAGGTTGGATTCTTAACATAATATTAGAGCCTAGGTTTTGTTATGCTTAACATTACTCCTGGTGATTGTCTATGTTTAGGCCCTGTTAGTTATACCTGCATGGGAGTGTGAAGTGGTGTTCTCCCACGTCTTATAAGTATTGACTTTTCTGTGGTCTTCTATTAGAGTTGAACCCTTTCACCTACTACCAATTGGTTTTCGGTTGGTTTTTTAGCATGGTGTCAGAGTCCAAGTTCTATTGCATTGTTCTTCTTGCCTAATTCCAACTCCCAAGAGAGGTTGATAACTGCTGGAGAGGTCGTCTCACGTGCAGGTCCTGTGAGCTAAACATGAGAGGAAGTGCTAAGTGGTGTTATTTTACATCTCTTAAATATTGAGTTTCCTGTGGTTTTAAATCAAAGTTGTTCCCAACACCTATTGTCAATTGGTTTTCGGTCAAACACCTAACAGTGAATTTAGTATTTGCGTGGTGGTGCAGCCAAAATTTGTCTCTTTCTGTTTTGTGATTTTATAGCTCTAACCCCACACCCCACGCTTGTGTCCCCATAGTGAGAATTTGAATGCTTATAATTCAAGTGTTTCCTTACAAATCATACTAGTTCTAGCCTGTCAAGGGTCAGAGTTGAAGGGTTATATGCGAAAGCAAGCCAACAGCCAGTCTATAAATAAGCATATGCAAAAGGGTGGAATACATAGCTTTTGTTTCCATCCCAGTCCTAGAATGGTCAGATCTATCTAAAGTCAGTTGGTCGTGTTTTCTTGTTGCTCCGACTGCTTATCTTATGTCCCTTTTACCTTCCATCTCTAGATTCCTCGCATTTTCAAACCAGAAGTCCAATTTGTAGAGCTCTCAATTGACCAATTTGTTCCTCGTGGAAAAAAACTGAAGGATGATCATGCTATTGAGACACCACGTTTTAGGGAAAAACTAACTGTTGAGGAGACTGATTTGATTGTCAAGTATTTCCATCCTACCAGTGAGAGCACTTGGAGACCTTCACTCATTGCCTTCCCTAGCTTCCAAGCATTTCCCTCCAAAGTCTGTAAAGTAATGCATTCTTATAGAACAGAGATGCTGATAGGTTCCATGCAACGTCTGTGTATTGGTGTTTGAATATTGATTCTGAGAATCAACCATCATAGCAACATCGTCATTGTTGGAGGGTTATAACGATGTATAAGTTAACGAAAATACTGTGGTTGGAAATTTGTACTGAAGTGAAGATAATCTTCTAGTACTTTCAACATGAATTTTACTTGAAATTTTAGTTATCAGCTTCTCAAGAGTGATGTTTCTCTTAAAAGATATTTTGACAGAATGATTTGATGCGAAGATGATGCCGGTTCATCTTCCCGAATTTCTCTATCATAGTAAACAAAAATAAAAATACACGTTATTTTGAGAGTTTTAAAGACGGAGAGTCTTGTATCCTCAAAAATAATAGTTGAAATACGTCTAATTAAATAAATAATATATAAATTAAAATATAAACTAATCCAAAAAAATAAAAAAATTCACAATAATTTAAATAACATAATTTCATATTGTTACTGTATCAGCAAAATGTCTTGAGATATTATCTCGCTTTCTAATTTTACAATCGCAAAAAATTATACAAAATAATTAGTACAATAAAATTTGTTCAAATAATTAAATATAAAATAATAAAAAATAATTTTATCTTATAAAAACAATAACAAAATCTACTTAGCTTAATAGAAGGAATTGATAGAAGCGAGAATAAGAAGTAATTTTTGTTTGGTGATGTTTACATTTAGAGGGGTTCTTATTGATAAGGGAGGGATGGTTTAAAAGCTGAGCTTTCAAGCTCGGATAATTATGGAGTTTCAATAATTCAACGTGCATAATGGAAGAAGCGGATTACATGTCAGAAACTCCGCGAAAGAGTAGATCGTCATTCGCGCCTTATCCTTACGTGGTGTCAGCTCGGACAGAAACCCACGAAGGCACGGATGACGGTCCGCGATCTTAAAAAGAACCCTCAAAATCACATATCGATAATATTAAGGCTGAGAGTGTATGAAAGGTAATTATTGATGTTATGGGTGATATTTCGGTAAAAACATCGGTATATTAAGGTGAGAGTGTATGAAAGGTAATTATTGATGTTATGGGTGATATTTCGGTAAAAACATCGGTATAATGAGTTTTTAAAAAAATGCGTATCTAGTGAACCAGCCTTGTGCAGAATAAAGGGTATCCACTTATACGTGCTCCGATGTATTAATTCAAATTTGAAATTAAATAAAATAGAGTTAATTGCATTATATTCCCTAATCTATGACCCTCATTTTAAATTAGTCCTTAGACTTTTAAACATTTCAATTTCATCCTTAAAATATGATTATTATTCTAAATTAATCCTCAAACTTTTGAATATTTCATTTTCATCCCTAAGCTATGATCTTCATCCTAAATTGGTCCCTATACTTTTTGAATATTTCAATTTATACTAAATTATTTGTATATACTAATCACATCTCTTGTTAATAAAATCATTAGGCAAGTTATATTATTACCTGTTTGAAGAAAAAAATCAGGTTAAACTATTGGTTGAAATGGATTACATATTTGGATGAATTTGGGGATGAAATTGAAAGATCTTAAAGTTTATGGACAAATTTAGAATGAGATTTATAGTTTGAGGATGAAATTTAAATGCTCAAAAATTTAAGGACTAATTTAAAATGAGAATCATAGTTTAGAGACATATGATACAATTAACTCTATAATTTATAGGTATAGTAAAGGTAATAAACACGTTTAGATTTGCTGACTTTAACTTTGATGGAAATTGCATTTATTAAATCCGGCGCCATGTCATAATTCCATTCAATTAATACAATATAATATAAAAAAACCAGAGTGGAATCTCATTCCCTACCAGCTGCAGCATGAGCACATGAGACGAGATTGAACTGAGTGCCTTTCTTTCTCCCCTAACAGCCTTTAATTTAACTTCTTTACTAATTTAGTTTAAACACTATACCAATACCAATACTAATACTAATACCAATACTAATACTAATACTAATAGAGATGTTAGATTGAGTTACTTACGTACCCTGCCTCTACAACGCCCGCATGTGATTGAGGTGTGTGTTTATGTTGTATTCTTTGAAATTTTGTAACCCACCATTCATCCACTCAATTCATACATATATGTGATGAAGGAAAATTCTATAATGAGTGTGATACATTCACCATTAATTTTACAGGATAAATTTTATAAATGATCATTAATTATATTAAAAATGATCCTTTTAGATAATAGACTTTCAAAACTCTTATAATGGACACTAAATTTTAAATTTTGTTACAAAATGAGCACAATACCATAAATGGAGTGTTTGGTTCACGGAATGTAAGATTACATTTTAGTAATAACATTATTGGAATGTAACATTACTATGAGAATGTTGTATTACCTTGCTTGGTTTGTTTAGTATGGATGTAAAATTACAATGTTTGATTGGAGGAATATAAGCTTACTTGAATGTATATTTTACTAAATTATCCTTTTGATATATGTTTTTTCAAAGTTAAACTTTAACGTTAAATTATAAATATTTGAATAAAAATTCATAGAAATATTTTAATCATTATACTATCTAACTTTTAAGAAAAAAATACAATTAGTATATAATTAGTATATTAATTTTATTTTTTAAAGAAATTTTAATAAGTATCATATTTATTTATATGAAATATAATATAATATGAACAAATAATATTATGATATCGAGTGGGTAAAGATATTATTTTAAATAATTATATTTTTACAATAATATTATTTTTTACCTCATAAAATTAAAAATAATTACTATATTATCATGTTTCAGTAAACGCAAACAATAAGAATTTGTATATTTGATAGGTTATTAAAAGCTAAGGGTTATTTCAATTATTTATATAAGTTTCTATGTATTTGATGAACTAAAAAGTTTCACAAAATTGTATTTTTAATATTTTTTTTAATTTTAAAAAATAAATGTTATCTTTTATTTTTTTTAAATTGATTTTTTTTATAATTATTACTTAGAATATTGAAAATATATATAATAAAAATAAAATTTAATTATAATTGAGGGGTCAAATAATATATTATTTATTATTAATTCATCCTCTTAACAACATTTAACTTTCGGTATCCATTTCTTAACAAAATTTTACAGTTTAATGTCTATTTTTACTTTGAAAAATTCAATGACAAAATAATTATTTTAACAAAATTTAATGGTCCTTTATGAATTTTATCCTACTAAAATATAAATGATGCATATCAGCGTATGTTGTTAGTAATACACGTCGGTGTATGTCATATATACATTATAGGCTCAACATAAGATGAATTATTTTTTTCGTAATTAAATAATATGGATATTTTTTCAATGTCTCATTAATACATGCATGCATTGCCTTTACTGACCTTTTTATAGTTCGAAATGGAATGCGAATATGGTTTTAGAATAATTAACCTCATTTATAATTACCTTCATAATGCCAATTCTTGCTTAATTCCATCACTCTCAATCTCATTATTAATTTACCTCTCTTATTGTATTTATCTAAATAATATTCCCATCTCGCAACACCAACTTAGGAAACGACACAAACCAAGCAACTTAAGTGGTAAAAGAATTGATGTTATTCCTTGAAGTATAGGGATGTAAGCGTTCAACTTCAAATGGTTGAGAGTTATCTTTGAACAGTTAGTGCTTGTATTTTTTAGTACCTAAACTATCAATTTTGATCTATTTTAATACCTAAACTTTCAAAAATTTCAAAATCATAGTTAAAGTTTAGTTTTTGTTTAATTTTAGTACCCCAGTTCAAATTTTAAGGTTTCGTTAAAAAATGTTAAGGTACCAAAATGGATAAAACTGATAGTTTAGGTACTAACCGCAATATGTTTTTTAACGACGGAGTATTAAAATGAAACAAAACTAAAATTTAGGTATGATTTTGAAAAAATTTAAAATTTAGGTATTAAAATGGACTAAAACTGATAATTTAGGGACTAAATAGGTAGTTTACCCAAAAAAATAGGAAACGATTCTCTTACGTGGCGAGCTTTCGTTTATACCTAATTTCTCTGCCCTTTTTATTTATTCATTAAAAAAGAAGGAGAAAACTAAGAATATGTTTGGTTTAAAATTTTTTTATTTTTATTTTTAAAAAGTAGTTTTCATTTCTCAACTTTTTGAAAATTAGAAAACATGTTCGGTTAATATAAATAGAAACTTTAATTCAAAACTAAAATAGTAAAAAAATTATGTTATATCTAATTTTTAAAATAGAAATATACAAATAGCTATTAAATAATTAAATTAAACAATAGTTTTAAAAAAATCATTACATAAATTTAACATGTAAATTATGTAAATATAAAACAATAAAATTGATAAGAAATTTCATAGCACAAAATTTATTTTAGTTTATAATAAAAATACAATGTTAATGCATATTGGATATTAATTAAATTTAAAAAATACACAAAAAAAATTTATAATCAATATCACAAAAAATGTCATTAACATAAAAAATATGGTTAGTGGTAATTGAGACCCTCAAAATTTTGGGGGAAAATAATTAATGTAGTCCCTGAACATTTTTTTTTCATCAAAAATGATCCTTAAAATTGAAAAAAAATAATCTAACCTAAAGTCAAACATTAACAGTCACGACACTTACATGATAGTTTATAAACTTACATGATAATCTATAATTTTGATGTGACAGTTCATGATATTGTTGTGGTAGTACTCGATGAAAGATGATGTGTAGATGGACTTAATTGATTATTAAAAAGTTTGATAAATTATTTAATTTAAAAAATTAAAAATTTATTTAAATTAAAAATATAAAATGTAAACAATTATTAAGATACTCAATAAATTAAATATAAAAATACTAAAAAATAAAGTTAAGGACTACATTGATTGTAAAAAAAATTAAGGAACCATATTGATTTTTTTTTATAAAAGTTTGAGTGTTTCAAATATGATTAAATCAAAAAATTATTGTTAGAATGATTTAAACTTGTGTAAGTTAAGTTAATAATCTAGATATCATATTTTCTTATTTTTCAA